AATACTAACCTGGCAAGTGTAGGTGATATACAAGACTAATACTAACCTATCAGGTGTAGGTGATATACAAGACTAATACTAACCTGTCAAGTGTAGGTGATATACAAGACTGATACTAACCTATCAGGTGTAGGTGATATACAAGACTAACACTAACCTGTCAAGTGTAGGTGATATACAAGACTAATACTAACCTGTCAAGTGTAGGTGATATACAAGACTAATACTAACCTATCAAGTGTAGGTGATATACAAGACTAATACTAACCTGTCAAGTCTAGGTGATATACAAGACTAATACTAACATGTCAAGTGTAGGTGATATACAAGAATAATACTAACCTGTCAGGTGTAGGTGATATACAAGACTAATACTAACCTGTCAGGTGTAGGTGATATACAAGACTGATACTAACCTGTCAAGTGTAGGTGATATACAAGACTAATACTAACCTGTCAAGTGTAGGTGATATACAAGACTAATACTAACCTGTCAAGTGTAGGTGATATACAAGACTGATACTAACCTGTCAAGTGTAGGTGATATACAAGACTAATACTAACCTGTCAGGTATAGGTGATATACAAGACTAATACTAACCTGTCAAGTGTAGGTGATATACAAGACTAACCTGTCAAGTGTAGGTGATATACAAGACTAACCTGTCAAGTGTAGGTGATATACAAGACTGATACTAACCTGTCAAGTGTAGGTGATGTACAAGACTGATACTAACCTGTCAAATGTAGGTGATATACAAGACTGATACTAACCTGTCAAGTGTAGGTGATATACAAGACTGATACTAACCTGTCAAATGTAGGTGATATACAAGACTGATACTAACCTGTCAAGTGTAGGTGATATACAAGACTGATACTAACCTGTCAAATGTAGGTGATATACAAGACTGATACTAACCTGTCAAGTGTAGGTGATATACAAGACTGATACTAACCTATCAAGTGTAGGTGATATACAAGACTAATACTAACCTGTCAGGTGTAAGTGATATACAAAACTAATACTAACCTGTCAAGTCTAGGTGATATACAAGACTGATACTAACCTATCAAGTGTAGGTGATATACAAGACTAATACTTACCTGTCAAGTGTAGGTGATATACAAGACTAATACTAACCTGTCAGGTGTAAGTGATATACAAGACTGATACTAACCTGTCAATGTGTAAGACAAACAGCATCACCAGCGACAGATTGTTGACCCTGCGTAGTTTCCTCAAGTCAACATTAATCTGTCCAACATAGTTGATACTTCAAATGTTTAGCGTAGCAGGCAGGAGCTACTTTGGACACATGCTTCCCCAGTTGCTACCACATGTGATTCTCGCCAGTAGCTTTTTACTTGACATCTTAAGCCCCAGATATTTTTCATTTGAACTCTTTGAGGCTCAATGCTGTGTGTGTTGATTGAGAAGTTGATAGATTAGTTCTGATTTGCCCAAACAACACTGCCTACGTCGATCATGTAGGGCTCCGAATTAGTTTCTAATGTTCAGAACTACCATAAAAGTATTCAAGGAATGTTACTCTAACATTTTTTCTTTGTAAACAAGTCTATATTGTCACACATGTAGCCGCAAAACTATTCCGATTCATTACTAGCGTGAACTCTAGACAGTGCATTTTCTGATTTCGTGGTATTTCAAGTGGCCATGGTTATCAATGTTCCAAACACAGGCGCAGGCCAAAAAATAGAACTTTTTGTGAAATTAATCAAAACTTTTGAATTTGTTAGGAAACTGTAGACTTTAAAGTGTTAGTCTCAAATATGGATATTCACTGCTTGTGTGGCTACAAAACTATGGTAAGTGAAGCATTTTTGGGGTACAATTTTGTCTCTGCAAACATAAAACCTGCTGAATTTTTTTTTCCTACCAATTATAACAGAATGGAACACAAACACATCCCTAGATTCAAAATGTACATTTAGTCCTCTTTAAAAAAAAATGTATACTTTTGTAGGGATTAAAATGTATTACACCGTCAAGTGCTTTTTTCTCGTTTAAAACGCCACTCCCTCTGCCATTTTTGTATAGGAAAATTAATGTGAGCCAAGTCTGTCAAAGTTCATGGACCTGAAAAAGTGAGGTCATATTTGCCTGGGTCATAAAGAGCAGAAGCTTAAAAACAACAATATAACAAGTCTGTCAAAGTCCATGGACCTGAAAAAGTGAGGTCATATTTGCCTGGGTCATAAAGAGCAGAAGCTTAAAAACAACAATATAACAAGTCTGTCAAAGTCCATGGACCTGAAAAAAGTGAGGTCATATTTGCCTGGGTCATAAAGAGCAGAAGCTTAAAAACAACAATACAACAAATCTGCACCACCTAGAAGATTATTTGTTTCAGTTAGTTTTATTTTAAAATATAAATACAAATATATATAGTGTAATAATCACAGCTAGAATAAGTGGCATTTAACAAACAATAAAAATAAAGTAAGGATCCCTTCACACACCAGAGGCGCATCAGGCATAAGAGACTGGACTGGTAATTGTATAGACCAATCGGCTCTGGATAGGTAATGTGGTAAACATCACAACAACCATCTTTATTTCAGAGAACTTTACCTGGCACCCATTCAAGACTGAATCCACCTGCAAGCCAAGGTCATGTATAACAAACAAATCTGGGGTCAGGAACCCATGACCCACAGGTGAGCATCTATCTGCTACATCTTGACAGCTCTCATGCAATAATTATAAATTATTCTATACCATTACCATTATCTTTCATTATGTTTATCAGAGAACAGCAATATCATCTGGAAGATTCTTTGCAGAAGTTACAAGAATCCCTATGTGAATAGAAGCGGTTTTTTTTTTTTTTTCAAAATGAAAAACTCATCCACAAATAAAGAGTTGTCAGATGCAGTGAAAACTGGACAATACAGACATGCTGAATATCTGACGGCAGCAGAAATCTGGTTGGAAACATACAAAGACTACCAGGGATGGGCTACCAAAGCTAATGAGGTAGTAGTTCAAGAAGCAGATTAATTTAAAAAGCAAATTAATTCAAAAAATTAAATATAGACAGTCAAGATGCTTTGAAAAGTTATGAAAAGTAATGGACTTGAAAATACAGTGATAAATTGTAAATGTGATGACAGAAAAACAAAAAGGAATACAGAATAAATAAACAAACATTATTTTTAAAGGGCTATAAATTAGGCATGTAGGTCCCTAGTGAGGTTAATACCTGGAGGGTTTGGCGAACTGGCATTCTGGAACATTAACGCAGTCTGATCTCAGACTGGTGAAAATCTGAGACGATGAATTATGATTGCCCTTATTTACTGGTATGATACATTAATGTCGAAATGTGCCTCCTTCTGCATGGATCTGTGTTGTGTCCCTTTAATACTGATATATCTATATCATTTAGTATCTTTTATCTCTGGACATTTGCTGCCTGGTGATAGGTACCTACAGCAGGTCCATTTCCTAGCTGAACATGTGTATGACTTAAAAAACTGAATACATTTCTCCGAAAGGCCCTTATGTCTAACATAATTATATCAAACAATTTTCCAGTTACATTCCGTGCCGTAACGATATGCTACTGCTATCCTAACTCTTGGTGTCACTTCCTGTCTAATACGAATATCCTGAAAAAAAAAACACACATGCAGGTGTGTTTACAGTTCCAGCGGGTTATGGAGATTTTGTGACAGATATGTGAATTTGTGAATTGCTATTTGCAACAATATAACTGTTTATTTATGTTGTGTGCTGAGGTAGGCTTTTTAGCTGCAACATTCATTTTGTCATTGTCAAGCAAAGTAGTTATACTGCTCAGTTGGACTTACATTTGCAGGTTTTCAAAGGTGTGTGCAAGATCAGGATACTGACTGTCAATCATCATCATGAGGAGTTATTTAAAATCGCATGCCATACTTCAGTGTGCAGTGTTTGTTTTCAAGTTTGCTGATTTCACTGGCATCTTCCTTTTGATTTTAAGAACATCTTTAATGTTTTTTTATTATACTGGTGATCTCTGATCTATTTGTTTATGTTTCTACTACTTATTCTCCTGTACTGCTAGGTTACTCTGAAGACTGGTATGCCTTGTATCATTAATTCAGCTTTGCGACTGCTCATTAATGTATTCTTGACTGATTAATTAAGTTTACCCTTTGTCTTTTAAGCTAACAAGTATATCAAAATTATACAAAAATTAAAATTTTACTGCATATACATAATTAACATACACTCATAAATACATAAAACATACAAAATAATGTGAAGTTATAAAGTATTAAACATAGTAAAGTTGCTTCTCCTACAGAACACACCACAGCATCAGAGATGAGGCTAATGTTGTATACAAGAATCCATTCATTTAGACGGTGTCAGCAACATCTCAGCACAACTGACAGCACCGGGAGGGATCCAAGAGTTTTAGCAACAGAATCATACATAAGGCACAACTGTTGTGTGGGCAGCTCTTACTTTCTACATTTAACCAGATTACTCTTCTATTTGACCCATTCTCACAGATCGTGTAGATATTCACACAAACTATCTGAATATTGCAGACCATGTAGATATCTTTCACATGAACTATCATTCATATGAAGAATATTCTATTTTAGATCACCCTGCTACTGTTCATATGAACAATGATCACAATTCTGAGATAATTTTATAAATCACATAGACATTTTAATCAAGAAATGATTAAACTGTTACTGCTCAGGGGACTAAAATTGCAGTGAGATAGAACCCACTGCAATAAAGTCAATCCTCACATCTTTCACCTTTTCACTGTTACCACTCACACGAACAATCCAGTATTCGGATCATTATGTAGCACATGGCTACCACCTCATATGAACAATCCATTTACAGCATAAATCACTAGGTAGCACATGGCTACCATTCAAATGAACAATCCATTTACTACATAGATCACTAGGTAGCCCATGGCTACCACTCACATGAACAATCTGTTATAGATTACTAGAAAAGTTCACTGTAAACTATAGTGGAACTGGTAGGCAAATTTGTCCCGCACTCGCCTGTAGTCCGCACTATCAAGGGTTGAACAGACCCGCTTCATGGATCCTCTGGGAAATGAAAAGTTCAAGCATCATTACAAATATGTCATTGTCTACCCTAACAGTTACACAAATATGTCATTGTCTACCCTAACAGTTACACAAATATGTCATTGTCTACCCTAACAGTTACACAAATATGTCATTGTCTACCCTAACAGTTACACAAATATGTCATTGTCTACCCTAACAGTTACACAAATATGTCATTGTCTACCCTAACAGTTACACAAATATGTCATTGTCTACCCTAACATTTACACAAATATGTCATTGTCTACCCTAACAGTTACACAAATATGTCATTGTCTACCCTAACAGTTACACAAATATGTCATTGTCTACCCTAACAGTTACACAAATATGTCATTGTCTACCCTAATAGTTACACAAATATGTCATTGTCTACCCTAATAGTTACACAAATATGTCATTGTCTACCCTAACAGTTACACAAATATGTCATTGTCTACCCTAACAAGTTACACAAATATGTCATTGTCTACCCTAACAGTTACACAAATATGTCATTGTCTACCCTAACAGTTACACAAATATGTCATTGTCTACCCTAATAGTTACACAAATAAAGGAGAGGAATGAGAGACACAAATGTGGAGGAAGAGCTGCAGGAGTAACCTAAGGTAAATGGAATATGAAAAAGGAGGAAGCAAGATAGAATGTGAGCACGAGGGGAGGGGCAGGAGGAAGAAAGAGGAGCAGGAGCAGAAGAGGAGGAACAGGAGTAAAAGAAGACAGAAAAAGGAAACAAGAGAATGTGAAGAGGCTAATGAGGATTTAAATACATTTCTTAAATGTTTGCTCGCCGACAAAGAATTAAGGTCTACTGTGTTCGTAAATTGTTGCTGTGATTGTTATTGGACATATGCTTCGTTAATATAAATTTCTGTAACCTATGGTGCCATTTCAATGGTTTGAAATGAATTATGTCCGTATTCCATAGTTGTGGATTTCAAGCTGTACGATGGACATGGCCAATAAGACACCTTTTTTGGGGGGTGCCTAGTTGACCATGTTCTTAGTGTACTTGTATTCATGGCAAGGCGCACACGCCATCTGGAGGTGACAGGTTCAATTCCTGGCACGGTAACTCTAGCTTTCGATTTTTATGTTGTCTAGTGTGTTCTTCTATCTTTCTACTTTTTTTTATGAGTGCTGATCAATACACTTTCTGTTACTTGATTAATTCATAATAATGAGGATTTAACAAAATGGTTTATTTTTAAAAACAGCATCCTCACTTGTTAAAAATCCGATTTTCCAGACGCTTCCGAGAAGTGTTTTTAATAGCTTCGATATTGGTCAGCTTTGATTTCTTTTTTCCTTTTCCTTTTCCTTTGCCTTTCCCCTTTACCTTCTTGTCCAGCAACTTTTGTGACCTTGCTGAGCCGAGGTCGTGACCTGTGGCCAGCTCAATTTCTCGCTGCAGCTCTGGATCCTGCCAAGGCGGCAACTCCTCATCTGAAATATAGAATAGAAAACATTAGTGATGGAACTGATCTCTTACCCTCTGATTCTGTCCCTCTCCATTCTGACTATTTTTCTCACCCCCTTTGGCTCCTTCTTCTTTCTCCTAATGAATCTTTTTCTGTCCCCCTACCCCCTTTGTTTCCCTCTCTTTTACTCTTCTTTTGGCTCTCTTTTTTTCTCTCTAAATCTTTGTCTCTCCTCTCTCTTCCCCTTTCTCACACATCAATTACATATATTAGTTTATCACATTAAAAAAAATGAGAACAATGTTTGATATGGCAGATATATTACCTATTTTGTTTTCTTTATATCCCTTTAATGTCTAGTGTGTTATAGAGCACATATTTACTCATGTTTGATATGCATGAAACAAGCATTCTCTTTGTCATCAAGAAAACAATTATTCACACACAACAGAAGATAGGGGCAGACATGATGATTGCTAAATGACACAGTCTTTACCTAGCAGAAGATAATGTCAGATAACCACTGTTGGGTTGTGAACAGCAGGCTATTTTTCAACTTATGCTAGCCCAGTGCTCCTCCATCAGTTTACATCTGCGGCTCACCACATATGCTAGCCCAGTGTTCCTCCCTCAGTTTACATCCGCGGCTCACCACATATGCTAGCCCAGTGTTCCTCCATCAGTTTACATCCGCGGCTCACCACATATGCTAGCCCAGTGTTCCTCCATCAGTTTACATCCGCGGCTCACCACATATGCTAGCCCAGTGTTCCTCCATCAGTTTACATCCGCGGCTCACCACATGTGCTAGCCCAGTGTTCCTCCATCATTTTACATCCGCGGCTCACCACATATGCTAGCCCAGTGTTCCTCCATCATTTTACATCCGCAGCTCACCACATATGCTAGCCCAGTGTTCCTCCATCATTTTACATCCGCGGCTCACCACATATGCTAGCCCAGTGTTCCTCCATCATTTTACATCCGCGGCTCACCACATATGCTAGCCCAGTGTTCCTCCATCATTTTACATCCGCGGCTCACCACATATGCTAGCCCAGTGTTCCTCCATCAGTTTACATCCGCGGCTCACCACATATGCTAGCCCAGTGTTCCTCCATCAGTTTACATCCGCGGCTCACCACATATGCTAGCCCAGTGTTCCTCCATCAGTTTACATCCGCGGCTCACCACATATGCTAGCCCAGTGTTCCTCCATCAGTTTACATCCGCGGCTCACCACATATGCTAGCCGTGTTCCTCCATCAGTGTACAACTGCGGCTCACCACATATGCTAGCCCAGTGTTCCTACATCAGTTTACAACTGCGGCTCACCACATATGCTAGCTGTGTTCCTCCATCAGTTTACAACTGCGGCTCACCACATATGCTAGCCGTGTTCCTCCATCAGTTTACATCTGGGGCTCACCACATATGCTAGCCCAGTGTTCCTCCATCAGTTTACATCTGCGGCTCACCACAACAGAAGAAATTGTTTTGTGCATCATCTGACAGCTAACCAAATATAAAAAAAAAAACTTGTCTTAACTAGGCAATCTTCAGGTGTCCTAACATAACTGTTTTATACATTTGTACAGGATGACTGGGTTTTGTACCAGTTTGATTCTCATCCCTGAGGTGTTGATCCAACTGACTCCAATCCTGGAAGTAAAAAACTACCTACACTACCTTTTTTACATTATTAGGAAGTCAATTTTGATGGCCCACCTGATCTTTTTTCACAGCCCACCCGTTCTTTTTTCACAGTCTACCCGCTCTTTTTTCACAGCCCACCCGCTCTTTTTTCACAGCCCACCCGCTCTTTTTTCACAGCCCACCCGCTCTTTTCCAGGCCCACCTGCTCGTTTCCATGGCCCACCAACTCTTTTCTACGGCCCACCTGCTCTTTTCCATGGCCCACCTGCTCTTTTCCACTGCCCATCAGTTGGCCATGACCCACTGCCTGAAGAACACTGCTCTAGCCCACGATGTATGAAGTGGTCTGGCTGGTTCCCTTTCTTACTGTGTTTAAACAAAGCCTAAAGCAATAGGGACAATTTTCTGGTTGGACTTCCATCAGGCTGGGTCAATTGTAGAGCTGCTGCACTGACAGACTGAAGATCTGACTGGAGAACTGACTGACAGGAGAACTAACTAACGAGATAAGGAACTTCATCACCTTAATGGTCTGTGACTGATTCCTCTGCTTCTCTATAACACAAATATAAATTTTGTCTGGAAGGACGTAAAGGTGCCAGCCAAATACACACATTATGCATACAGATATCACCACTACACACATATATGTATACAGGCACCCCTACAACACAAACAATGCATTTAAACACATTCACACTGTGAGAGAGAAAAAACACCAACCATTTCCCTCAAGTTTCTCAGGCTTAATGTCATCAACAACACTGGTTGAGGGATGCTGTTCTTTACTTCGTTTGCTAGTTTTATCTCCAGGGATAACAATACTGGTTGATGGATGCTGTTCTCCATTTGGTTTGCCAGTTTTATCTCTAGGGACAATCTTTCCATGAAATGGGCACTGAACGGAAACAAAATTATGTGTATAAACAGATTAATGATGAGACATATTTCACTCTTAACTGCTTACTATAACAAAATAAACGGAGCTCTGGCTAATGTGATACATTCAACCTCTCAACAAATTGATAATATAGGAAATTAAGTTTTCTCAATAACCAAAATAAAGCTGATGCTTAAATAACATGACCAAATTATAAAGTAAAATTGTCAATAACATGATAAATTCAGCCTCTCAACAACTTGATTATATGATAAATTAAGTTTTCTCAGTAAAAAAATTAAATTGATATTTAAACAGTATGATCAAATAATAAAGTAAATTTATTGATACCAAGATAAATTCAGCTTCTCAATAACAGAATATAAGTTGAATTTTTGAACAGCAGATTATTTTTGGACAAAGTTGACATAACTTCTACATTACTGAGATAGTATTAATACGGGGTTTACAGGGTCTAATCTTTATTAGGATTTCAGAGTGCTAGACTAAAAGATGCAGATATTGCAACCTACCTGTAAATGACAACTCAACATGTCAACTGCTGTTTTGAGCTTGAACACGGAAGAAGAGGAAGAAGAAGAAGAGGAAGAAGAGAAAGAAGAAGAAAAGGAAGAAATCTGGAGGTGATTTAAGACTCACATTACAAATAAAACATGAAAAACACACTCTAGTTTTCAGTGACATGTTTTATTCCATCAAAACTTGCCAGTTTGGTCTCACCTTGACTCTGTCCATTCTTTCACACAACTTTCCATTTGGCATCATTGCCCGGCACTTCCACTTAACTGGCTCAAATTTTCCAGTGAAATAGAAGATCCTGTTTTTCACTGCAGCAATGTCATGCTGGAGGTGATTAAACAAACAAAAACATTAATCAGCATTATAACAGGTCTAAAAAAACTACAATAGCAATACACTAGTTCTCATGTAGAATGTAAACATAACCAGCTTTAACAAGTATAATGGATATTTGATCATCTTCTACATGTAACTGGCATAAAACTTCAAAGATAGAGGACACACAGACATCAAATGAATGAATTGTTATGTAAGCGTGTCTTAGTTAGAGGAGGACAAACAGACTTCAAATGAATGAATTGTTATGTAAGCGTGTCTTAGTTAGAGGAGGACACACAGACATCAAATGAATGAATTGTTATGTAAGCGTGTCTTAGTTAGAGGAGGACACACAGACATCAAATGAATGAATTGTTATGTAAGCGTGTCTTAGTTAGAGGAGGACACACAGACATCAAATGAATGAATTGTTATGTAAGCGTGTCTTAGTTAGAGGAGGACACACAGACATCAAATGAATGAATTGTTATGTAAGCGTGTCTTAGTTAGAGGAGGACACATCAAATGAATGAACACAGACATCAAATCAAATGAATGAATTGTTATGAAAGCGTGTCTTAGTTAGAGGAGGACACACAGACATCAAATGAATGAATTGTTATGAAAGCGTGTCTTAGTTAGAGGAGGACACACAGACATCAAATGAATGAATTGTTATGTAAGCGTGTCTTAGTTAGAGGAGGACACACAGACATCAAATGAATGAATTGTTATGTAAGCGTGTCATAGTTAGAGGAGGACACACAGACATCAAATGAATGAATTGTTATGTAAGCGTGTCTTAGTTAGAGGAGGACACACAGACATCAAATGAATGAATTGTTATGTAAGCGTGTCATAGTTAGAGGAGGACACACAGACATCAAATGAATGAATTGTTATGTAAGTTAGTTAGAGGAGGACACACAGACATCAAATGAATGAATTGTTATGTAAGCGTGTCATAGTTAGAGGAGGACACACAGACATCAAATGAATGAATTGTTATGTAAGCGTGTCATAGTTAGAGGAGGACACACAGACATCAAATGAATGAATTGTTATGTAAGCGTGTCATAGTTAGAGGAGGACACACAGACATCAAATGAATGAATTGTTATGTAAGCGTGTCATAGTTAGAGGAGGACACACAGACATCAAATGAATGAATTGTTATGTAAGCGTGTCATAGTTAGAGGAGGACACACAGACATCAAATGAATGAATTGTTATGTAAATTGTTAGTTAGAGGAGGACACACAGACATCAAATGAATGAATTGTTATGTAAGTCTTAGTTAGAGGAGGACACACAGACATCAAATGAATGAATTGTTATGTAAGCGTGTCTTAGTTAGAGGAGGACACACAGACATCAAATGAATGAATTGTTATGTAAGCGTGTCTTAGTTAGAGGAGGACACACAGACATCAAATGAATGAACTGTTATAAAAGCGTGTCTTAGTTAGAGGAGGACACACAGACATCAAATGAATGAATTGTTATGTAAGCGTGTCTTAGTTAGAGGAGGACACACAGACATCAAATGAATGAACTGTTATGTAAGCGTGTCTTAGTTAGAGGAGGACACACAGACATCAAATGAATGAATTGTTATAAAAGCGTGTCTTAGTTAGAGGAGGACACACAGACATATGAATTGTTCTTAGTTAGGAGGACACACAGACATCAAATGAATGAACTGTTATAAAAGCGTGTCTTAGTTAGAGGAGGACACACAGACATCAAATGAATGAATTGTTATAAAAGCGTGTCTTAGTTAGAGGAGGACACACAGACATCAAATGAATGAATTGTTATGTAAGCGTGTCTTAGTTAGAGGAGGACACACAGACATCAAATGAATGAACTGTTATAAAAGCGTGTCTTAGTTAGAGGAGGACACACAGACATCAAATGAATGAATTGTTATGTAAGCGTGTCTTAGTTAGAGGAGGACACACAGACATCAAATGAATGAACTGTTATAAAAGCGTGTTATAGTTAGAGGAGGACACACAAACATCAAATGAATGAATTGTTATGTAAGCTTGTCTTAGGAGGACACACAGACATCAAATGAATGAATTGTTATGTAAGCGTGTCTTAGTTAGAGGAGGACACACAGACATCAAATGAATGAATTGTTATGTAAGTGTGTCTTAGTTAGAGGACACACAGACATCAAATGAATGAATTGTTATGTAAGCGTGTCTTAGTTAGAGGAGGACACACAGACATCAAATGAATGAACTGTTATAAAAGCGTGTCTTAGTTAGAGGAGGACACACAGACATCAAATGAATGAATTGTTATGTAAGCGTGTCTTAGTTAGAGGAGGACACACAGACATCAGATCAATGAATTGTTATGAAAGTGTGTCTTAGTTAGAGGAGGACACACAAACATCAAATGAATGAATTGTTATGTAAGCATGTCTTAGTTAGAGGAGAACACACAGACATCAAATGAATGAATTGTTATGAAAGTGTGTCTTAGTTAGAGGAGGACACACAGACATCAAATGAATGAATTGTTATGTAAGTGTGTCTTAGTTAGAGGAGGACACACAGACATCAAATGAATGAATTGTTATGTAAGCGTGTCTTAGTTAGAGGAGGACACACAAACATCAAATGAATGAATTGTTATGTAAGCGTGTCTTAGTTAGAGGAGGACACACAGACATCAAATGAATGAATTGTTATGTAAGCGTGTCTTAGTTAGAGGAGGACACACAAACATCAAATGAATGAATTGTTATGTAAGCGTGTCTTAGTTAGAGGAGGACACACAAACATCAAATGAATGAATTGTTATGTAAGCGTCTCTTAGTTAGAGGAGGACACACAAACATCAGATCAATGAATTGTTATGTAAGCGTGTCTTAGTTAGAGGAGGACACACAGACATCAAATGAATGAATTGTTATGTAAGTGTTACTTAGTTAGAGGAGGACACACAGACATCAAATGAATGAATTGTTATGTAAGCGTGTCTTAGTTAGAGGAGGACACACAGACATCAGATCAATGAATTGTTATGTAAGTGTGTCTTAGTTAGAGGAGGACACACAGACATCAAATGAATGAATTGTTATGTAAGCGTGTCTTAGTTAGAGGAGGACACACAAACATCAAATGAATGAATTGTTATGTAAGCGTGTCTTAGTTAGAGGAGGACACACAAACATCAAATGAATGAATTGTTATGTAAGCGTGTCTTAGTTAGAGGAGGACACACAAACATCAAATGAATGAATTGTTATGTAAGCATGTCTTAGTTGGAGGAGGACACACAGACATCAAATCAATGAATTGTTATGTAAGCGTGTCTTAGTTACCTGCAATCTAATTAGATGCTATCTAAATGATTCTGGTTAGTTTCAAACAGGTCTATAAACAGCAGCTACCAGACCTGAATGTTTCAGAATCAAAATGACCAAACTTTAATGTCTGGGTATTTATTTTATGATCAGATTTGAATACTTGAGAATCATATATAGTAGACACAGCAAGAGTGGCTAGGAGATATGGTAATATGCCTGACTCAAGTAGAATAAGAACAAATCACCACAGTGTGGTTGTGAAGCTTTACATAATAAGGAAATTGACAATATTTTTTATTTACTTCTGTGACAGCAGAAACTGGGAGAGTTTACACTGGGAGAGTTTACACTGGGAAAGTTTACATGGGGAGTTTACCTGGGAAAGTTGACATTAGGACTTTACCTGGGAAAGTTTACATTGGGAGTTTACATAGGAGTTTACCTGGGAGAATTTACCTGGGAGAGTTTACACTGGGAAAGTTTACCTGAGGAAGTTTACCTGGGAGACTTTACCTAGGAGAGTTTACACAGGGAGTCTACCTGAGAGAGTTTACTTGGGAGTTTACATAGGACAGTTTACACTAGGAGAGTTTACCTGGGAGAATTTACACTGGGAGAGTTCACCTGGGAGAGTTTACCTAGGAGAGTTTCCCTGAGAGTTTACCTGGGAGAGTTTACCTGGAAGAATTTACCTCAGAGTTTACCTGGGAGAGTGAATAAAATTAATCCATGCCTTGAAAACAATTAGCACATATGACCACCAGGCTGCCTGGCAAATGCACTAGCCACGCCATTAACATGATAATTAATAAACAACTCTGCCAGATAAGATACAAAAATAATCTGGCACAATGATGTAGAAACCAAACCACAACAACATGATCTGCTGAAATATGAAATGATTGTGAAAGGTGAGAAACACGAAGGGCAGAAAGTTAGCCAGGTCAAATTATTAACACTTCAAACTTAATATTCTCTTCACAACTTCATAATACAAAAGTGATTTACTGATGGTAGTATTTTTTGCTTGCATGTTAATCAGTTAGTTATTGGTCACAGTGACCTCACAGTAAGTAAGTGACTAATAATGTATCAGTTAATTTATCAGCAGAAACCACACACAATGCCCACCACTGTCTCATGTGAGAAGTCAAACAGACAGTAGTCTTGGCAAATTCAACAGCATTAAATGCATAAGAGCAGCCATCAGAGGTGCCAACACCAACAGTTTGTTACAAGAATAACAGTTCACTGATGATGGATGTAGTACTCATGACAAACCAGCAGGTGCATATACATTACTGCATAACGCATACTGTCAGTTATGTAGCAATCAGCTATCCTCCATTGTCTGAATATGCAATTTATAACACAAATCACTAGAGGAGGCACAGATGAAAGGCATTCTATATGAAATCCACAACTGACGGTGTCACTCCATGCACTGAATTCAAAAGCTGGCCGAATGCTGTTGGAATGGATTCTCTAAAGGTGTGATTCTTTCATGGATTTATTTTTTTCATATTGAACCATCAATTTAAGAGGAAAAGTTTACCTGAGACGGAGTCTCTGGTTCGGTTTCCGAAGGTGTCCAGAATCGATGCAGGGAATCCAATCTGGAGACAGAAAAGATTCTTTTATATGTTTCACCAGCTTCAACTCTTATGCATTTAATTTTAGTACATTAAATTCAAGGTTATTGTAACGTTTACTGGCCCAGAAAGAGAGTGACTTCCCTTTCCATTCATGCCTCACCGTGTCGCATGGCTTGTCCTATGTTGCAGGGGTGTCATGCTTAGTGACCGGCCACCAACCCTTTTATTTTCTCACATCAGCTGCCGACGACATCATGTGTTCTATATTCTACGATGTGAGCGCTTTTAACGGTCTCAAAACATGTAGAAGTGGCCCTAACACCCCCGCCCCCACGGCCTCAGTCTATGTCCCACTAGAGAGTGCAGCCATGTCTCAAGGAGAGATACCAAGTCGCTGCACATACAATTAATCACACAAGGTACCACTAATTCTGTGGCAACAGGCAACTTGCCATTTTCTGGATCTGCAGTTCCTAGTACAAAATAACAGGGCACAAGCAAATTGTGGTTTTGACCCCCAGGAGACCAACACTAATAAACATCACTATCCAAGAAGGATGGCTGTATACCCACACACATTTTTCCTCAGCACATGCTTCACCACCTTTTTAGAGAAAGACATTGTATCATATTCAGACTAAGGACAGGCCATCACAGACTACACAAACATGTGTTCATGATTTGTTGGTGTAGGAAACAGAAAGACGTGTCCCTGTAAACTAGGTGTCTGAAAGTGCTGGGTGTATATTTCAACACTGTCAGCTTACTGTAAACTGACAGAAGCAATGCTGTCTCTTCCAACCTCAATCAAGAGAAAACTGCACAGTAGTCTTCATCAGGACTGATCTATGTTTTCTGACAAGGATGGAAGGAGAAGATGTGATAACATTGGTCAACAATGTCTTTAGATGTATTAATGTTAGAATGTTAATTGTAATGTGTTGTGTGCAATGTCAGTGCTGTGATACAGTTCACATAAAAGTGTTTAAGGAGTAACAATATAAAAATTAACACTAACTTGACAACAGTTGGTACTTCAATCTGATCTGGAGTCTCCCAGTAGGCCAAGTCTGTTCCAAAGGCCACAACTGGAACTGTGGTGGATTCTTGGCCTTCTGAGTTTGTTGTGGTATGAACACTCGAGGACCCAAGAGAGGTTTTTGTTGCAGTCTCTGAACTAGAGAAGAAAAGATGACAAAACCTCAGGATGCTGAATAATTGAAGAATTGAACTCAGTCTATAACTATAAGTGCTCTAGAGATAAACCTACATAAGCTCTGTCTCTCTCATGTCATGTCAAATGTAGGTATGTTGACAGATCCTGTGGCAAATTGATTAAAATGTACCTCTGTTGTTCCTGCTACAACCACAATTGTCCTTCCCCAATGTCCTTATGCCCGGTGTCTTAGAGGCCAGAAAATCATCATTACCTGCACGGTTGAGACAGAAGATCCACCTATGTTCTTGAAGAGATTAGATGCCTAGATAAATTAGTTATTCCTACCATTCAGAGCCCCAATGGTCCTCCAAAGCACAGACTGAGAATCAGACACATTGGTAACTAGTGTATGGAGTCTCAGGTGACCCACACACAAAAACTACAACGACAGTATTTGCTTCTTCTTCAAGACCGCCGACTGTAAACTCCAGCGGAAAGTTGTAGTTGTTCGTCCACTTCTGGACTTTTAGTCTTGCTCCAGAACTTGAATTTAGCGGGCACATTCGTGTTACAGACATGGCTTATTTGTAAGCAGACTGTCTGTGCCTAGCCTCACAGTAGATGCACTTGACTACAAAAGAAACATTCCTCATTAGTCAACTTTTCTGACATATTTGTAAGGGAGGCAGTGGGTATTTTCTTCCCCCGACCTCCCCAAAATGGGGCCCCGGAATCCACACGGGAAGTTTCTACTTCTATCCTTGTACTGGATACACTGCTTGCATTATTTTTATGGTAGAGTACTAACTGTTAAAGTCATAAGATGTTCAGCTATGGAGGGCTTTTAGAGTCTAGGATGGTTCAGTGGAACAACAGAAGCAATTTATATTTTAATTTTATTACAGATTTAGATAACAATAAGGTGACCATGTTAGCTGTTAATAAGAAACTAGTTGCTTTTCTGAATGCACTAGCTGAGCTAAATATGCATGGCAAAGAAAGAGGGAAGCTCACCTCTTTGGTTTGATTTTGGCAAGAGCAGCGGCTAAAGATGTAGGATCTGATACATTATCGGTGCTAATCCTGTCTTTTAAACTCCAATGTTTGTTCACGGACACCAACTTGCTCTTGTCTAAAGGAACTGTTCCCACAGCCAACAGAGAGGGCGCCTTCTCCTTCAAAGCTAACTGGCTTGGTCCAGCTTTCACTGGAGATGCGTCTAAACCTGTAAGAAAAATTATTTAATTGTTAATTTATAACATCTTAAGTATTATTTTCATGTTCTATCTGGGTTCATCTTTGTAAAGATTCAACATCACAGCAGTCAATATGGAATGTAACACTTCATATCAAAAGTCAATGTGAAGTTAAAATTTCATGTAAGAAGTCAATGAGATGAGTAATTCATTTATGAATGATGACAGGTTGCTTTCTGCCTGGGTTCATGGACCTCTGACCCATGTATTATAGCCATAGGACTACCACAGAGATGTGCAATTTCACCTGTGCTTTTCAATATTTTTTACGAGCAGGATTGCGGACCTGGAAACACCTGGAGGGCAAATACTGACATTCGCAGATGATGTTCTCATATATAGGCAAGGGAGAGATCTGAATCAAACATCTCAAGAGTTACAGGGGACAGTAGTGAATTTTTGTTGACTGGTGTATAGAGATGAGTGCTGTATTCAATCCAGAAAAGAACCATCTTATCGTGTTCTTTGGACAACAGGATTGTTAGAGCTGATGTTCTAAGCCTCATAATAAATGGCAGGCACATCAAAAGAGACAGCAGACTGCAAATCGCCTTTGACAGAAGCTTGACTTTCAAGGATCACACAGAGAAAGTTGAGACAAGGACCCAAAAAGGTTTTAATGCACGAAAGATTATGACAGCAATGGACAAGGAGCAGAGAATGCTGTTCACACTATACCAGCACTTAATCATCTCAGTGACTGATTATAGACTGGGGTTGCTGTCTCGAAGAGTCAACTAGAGAAACTGGAGCTCATACAGAATGAAGCTATGAGGGTGATCCTGGGATGTACAGGAGACACCTCAGTTGTGTGCATGCAACACATCTTTGCATTTCCTACAATTCCAGATAGGCTAAAGGTGCTGCAGGCTAAGTCATACCTCAGAGTAGCTGCAGACAAAGAACACTCTCTGCATGAAGCTTTGGATGCGGTTAAGGGTCAGAGGCTGAAAAGGGGAAAAATCATGGATGGCTCAAGCAAAAGACATAATAAAGCAAGTATGCATGCTGGAGAACACTGGGTGATTAGAGGAGTCGGTCAGAGTACCAGAGGAAAAGTCTGAACTGTGTAGGGTCATGATCACAATAAGCCAGGAGTGCATAGAGTGGCCAGCTGGGGCTACGGAGCCAGAAGTCCGATAGTTGATTCACGACAACTGTCACCAAGATGATCTGATTATCTATACAAATGGTTTAGTGTTGAGAGGGAAGAGAAGTGCCTGGGGGTTCATAGCGAAAGACAATGGAAAATCTTTAGTGCAGGTCAGCCTAGTATACAACACCACAACACCTTGCATAAGAGTGGAGGTGGAGGCGGTAACTGCAGCTTTCCGGTGGCTGGTGAGCAAGATGCATACACATGTTGTAATTGTAACAGACTCCGAAAGCATGCTGAGAAAGGTGAAGACAGGGTTGCTTCGAGCAAAGAGGCAAGCTTCACTTGGAAGGTCACGGGTAGTGAGCATACTTTGGATCTTTTCTCTGGGCGATACCGGCGTGGTGGGGAATCAACAGGCAGACTGGCTGGATCTGCACCATTCTGTGGTGAACTGATACAAGACAAGGTAGATGTGGTCAGAGCCTTTTGATAACAAGTAACTAAGTCAGAAAAGGAACTGTATTATTATGGCCTGGAGAGAATGATGCCCCTGGGTGTGACCAGAGAGTCTAGCCGGCTCACTACACTCAGAGGAAAGTCAAAATGGATATATAACCAGACTACAACCGGCACCATTAGTACTGGTACTGTGTGCTGGCTGCTGAAGATGGGGACGGAGCGCATAAAGGAATGCCCTGAGTGCTGTGATGTCAGTTTTTGACTCAACTCAATTCATTTATGATTGGTGTTTTTATGTCTTCTGAGATTCCTTCACTTTTTGTTTCCCCTTCAAGATTTGCCATCTCTCATGTTATTCTGTCGGCTCTGTGGCTAAGTCAATGCGAACGCTTTGTAATGCCAGGGTGCCGGGTTCGATCCCAGCTGCGGGTCATGTGCCTTTGCATTAGTTTTGACAGTGGTATCAGAGAGCCGACTATCCAGAAAGCAATGGCAAACTACTGGACGTAAATTTGCCTAGAAACCACACAACAGCCAGGGGCTGCTGGGGTTGGTTCTGCAACGTCCTGTAAAGGAAACGCAACTAACCTAACATGTTATTCTGTCCAAGTAGATGGTGGATAGCCACAGTGATAGCACACATCCCTGTCTTAATTCAGTGCTTATTTCAAACAGGTATGTGTCTTGCATTCATCATCATCATCCCCATCAGGAATCATACCAATAAGCATAGGCAGCCATTTACACACGATACCACAACTGTCATAGATCAGGTCAGTGCTCTGTATTGTCTTATCTATTTGTCCAAGCCATTTGTTGCTCTTTTATCATCAAATACCCAGCGGTCACCAAACTCTTGAGTCTATTCATTGTCATGTGTCCCAAAATATTGATCGTCTTCGTCAAATTCCTCTAATAAGTAAATGACTTTCATCTGTCTCGAGGAAGACTTCCTCGCATCAGTTTTTACTATACTGTGGCAAATTCCATACAGAACTCTAATATTTGCCTTATATTATTGCAACAATCGTGGTGATAGATTCATAACATCTCTCCAGAGTTTACTGTGTTTACCTCTGGATGATAACAGCCAGAGATCTTTCGGCTGCAAAAAGCCTGAATTTTTCTGAAAAATGACAGAAACAAGTACTGGCTGAAGTATCTATACAATATATTCATAAGGAAATCTTACCATATTCTGCTCTGAGGTGCTGTGGTATGTGTGGCTCATAACCCTCCTTTTCTGGAACTTCTTCAAAATCATCATCATCTACAAATACAAAAAGAAAAAAACTTTATAATTTGAAATATACTAATTTTTTTTTGTTTAAAGAAATTTAAGTTTATGAATACAGTGTTCTTTAAAAAAAAAAACATTACATATCTGATTATTTCATTTTTTTCTCATCCTGCATCTTCCCTGGAGTAGATATTAGTCATCTTGACACTCCTTCCCTCTCTGTTCTCTGACATTTTAATTAATCTGATGTAGCTTATAAAATTATTTGTTGCCTGGCTGTGCATGCTTTCTGGTTCAAGTAACATTTTCCGGCCCACACACCCTGTGATTGGCCATTCATTTATGCTTGCTTACTTTTAAACATGCTAGTATAAGTTACAGGGAAGTCATGTATTATGTATAAAAACAAGCTGTATTTTACTCGTTGTTCTGAGCGACCGGTGACATTGCTTATATGCAAGCCTTCTTGGACTGAAAGTACAAAATTAATTTACTTCAGTTGTCAGGGTTGATGACCGATAAGAAGGGCCGACCACAAAATGTTTACAGTTCTGAAACCAAAGGACGTACATGCAGTCTCTTGTGGAATGTAGGTTGATGCTGTAGGGTGGGGGGTTAGGGCCAGTTTTTAATCTTCTGAGGTCAGTAAAAGGGGTCAAATCGTGTAATATAGAGCACTCATCATCGCCGCTGAAAGCCTCGAAGACATTACAAACTGACTCCCTTGTAACAGAGAGTCGCTCATGTGAAAGGTCAGCAAGCATGAATGAATGGCCAATCATGGTGTGCATCGACTGAAGATCGTTACTTGTACCAGATTTCCTTATACATTGTCTTCTGTTTTCCTCTGCCTCTACTGTATAGTATTTTCACACAAAGAAAAAAATGTTTCTTCTCCATCTCCTCTGTTGGGAGATATGGTCACAATGTCTCCCAAATATCTGCCTCAAAGTGCCTACTTAAGATATCAGCCTTAAAATGCCTACCTGAGATATCTGCCTCAAAGTGCCTACTCAAGATATCAGCCTTAAAATGCCTACCTGAGATATCTGCCTCAAAGTGCCTACTCAAGATATCAGCCTTAAAATGCCTACCTGAGATATCTGCCTGCTGCAACTTCTTTTGCTCCATTGAGATCAGTTTCAAATCCATGCATTTCATTTTAATGTCTTCAAGATTGCGTTTGAGGTCAATGGCTGCTTTAATATCCTCTGATCTGGCGCCATTCTTGCCCAGAATCTGATCAAGATAAAAAACCAATCCATTATTAAATATCTCTTCTCATTTATGAAGCATATCATGAAATACTTATCACAAACAAATGACCCTGGCGAAAATGATGATTGATTGTTATCTTTATATACTATCTAGGTAATCAAAGGGAAGACTACTCAGCAAACATTGGGAGCAATACAAAACAGCTACATGCAGGGTTCACATATGGGGGGGGGGGGGGGGGGGGGACTGGGGGTTTGGGGGCTCAGATCAAGGCAGTCATCAGAACCTACTGGAACACTTAACACCCAGAACATAATCCCCAAGACCAAATTAATCTACTTGCAAGAAAGAAAATCAATCTACTTACAGGAAAGAAACACACAAGTGAATTTAGACTGCACACTGGATACAACAGACTGCGGCCAGGTGTACAAGAAAATATTTGAGATCAGAGAGTTTAAACTTTGCCCATGTGGACAGGCTCTGCAAAATGCTCTTGACATGCAGCAAAAAGATTATAGGTCTGGTCAACTGGTACTGCGGTGGAAAACAAGCTATTTGGATTAGTGGAGGACACGTGTTGCACCATAAACTATATAACTTCAGAAAAACCACTGGCAGGGAAAATGAAAAGAAGAAAAATAATCTACCTGACACACAAAAAAGTGGAATGGAAGGACAGAATGGTCTGTGTGCCCAATTCTTAAGCCTTTGAAAATAAAGTTTGTGTTTTCTTTTTTTTTTGGTTCTTGCGATGTCAGAAACATCTTAAATAAAGAAGAAGAATCTCACAGAAGGCAAACAAGTTTAGTACAAGATAGCATCATATTCAGACCAGAACAAGTCATTGTCCTCAGCTTCATAAGAGGGCAGAATTGATTACATAGCCGTGTGCATATACAATTTACAACTGGAACACAAGCCATTTGCATATACAATTTACAACTGGAACACAAGCCATGTGCATATACAATTTACAACTGGAAGAAAAGCCATGTGCATATACAATTTACAACTGGAAGAAAAGCCATGTGCATATACAATTTACAACTGGAACACAAGCCATGTGCATATACAATTTACAACTGGAACACAAGCCATGTGCATATACAATTTACAACTGGAAGAAAAGCCATGTGCATATACAATTTACAACTGGAACACAAGCCATGTGCACATGTATACTGATGCCCCAGACAGCAGAATGCATACTTCAAGACTGGCCTGCCCAGACATAATATGGCAAATAAATTGTGATCTGAAGCTACTGCATGTACTAATACTGTGGCACATTCACAAATATCCAGTTAGCACCATACAGCCATGACATCTTTACAAGCAGAAACTGAAATCTTCTTGACTTTTTAAATGGAGTCTCATGGATTCAATAACCAAATATTAAAATTAGTTACAGGTGAAGTGTTTTGTGGTGTAGGGTAAAGAGAGAGGGATAGTACCTCACGGTGAGTGGCAGCCATATCCGAATGGATAGTCCAGGATCCTATTTGGTTCTCATCTCTTTACCTAGCTCATGTATGGCTCCACGAATACCGCTTGTGTACGGCAGTGGCCACACCACGTGCAACAGTCTTGGCTGACTGGCTAAACTACATGAGTGAAGTGGGAGTAATATCCTACTAAGGGAGATGTCCATCCCTAGTACACAAAGACTGGGACGGTAAGCAAGGCTGAAGAATCGAATTATATAGATCAACGGCTTGCAAAGCGAAACAGCAAAGTGTGTGGCACACATGAGGCGTGTTGGGACACGAAGGAAAACATGGCTGGCTATCGTGGAAAAGATTGGGACCTTACCACGTAGAACCCAAAGACAGTAATGGAAGCACAACAAGTTAGAAAAAGCGATGCAGGCACATCTTGGCCCCCTGGAGTAATGCCTGTTGTAAATACAAACAGGGAAGAGACAAATCCTCTGTTGACTAGGGTAGAGCATAATGACGAGTGCGCCTTAAATTCTTCTGAAAGGGCACATTCTGACAACGCATATCTGAAAAGTAGAAAGAGATGGCTTCGCATTGGCACATGGAATGTTAGAACGTTATATCAAGTTGGAAAATTTGACTGTTTAATTTCTGAGGCAAAGAATATGAATTTAGATATTTTGGGAGTATCAGAAACAAGATGGACAGAAGCTAGCTGCCTAAAGAGAGATGATTACACATTTATTAATTCTGGAGGAGAACATCATGAACGTGGAGTAGGATTCTTGATAAAAAGAAATTTAGAGAAGTTTATTAGCGGGTTCTGGGCTCACAATGACAGAATTATATTGATCAAGATCAAGGCAAGACCTTTTGATATTGCAATAATACAGACATATGCACCAACAACTGACTACAGCGATGAACAGCTTGAAGAATATTATGAAGAACTTCAACAAACACTGAAAGTTGTAAAATCATCAGAGGTCTTAATAGTTATGGGAGACCTGAATGCAAAAGTGGGGAAAAAGAAGCACAAACATATTGTAGGGCAATTTGGCATGGGATCAAGGAATGACAGAGGAGACAGATTGATACAGTTTTGCGAAGAGAACCAACTTTTATCTGTAATACATTTTTTTCAACATCCACCTAGAAAACTGTTTACGTGGAAGAGTCCAGGAGATATAAATAGAAACCAAATTGATTATGTAATGATTAGAGACAGATTCAAAAACAACATAAAAAACGCCAAAACATACCCAGGTGCGGATATAAATTCAGATCACAACCCTGTGGTAATCAAATTACAAATTAAACTTAAAAACCCAGGAATAAAAACGCAAAGGTCACCCCACATAGACATATCAGCTTTGAAACAGCCAGGAATAAGCCAGCAGTACCTAGTGGAGGTTGAAAATAAATATGACAGATTAATAGTTGAAAGCATGGAACAATATCGACGAGAGAATCCAGAGGACAAAATTAATACAAAATGGGAATGTTTCAAAACTAGTATAGAAACAGCTAATGCCATCTTACCAGTGAAAGAAAACAAGAAAAATCAAGTATGGATGACTGAGGAAATTATTAACAAAATGACACAAAGGAAGAAAGCAAAAAACTTTTCAGAATATTCATTAATAGCCAAAGAAATACGAAATATGTGTAGAACTGCTAAGGAAACATGGATTCAGTTAAAATGCAAAGAAATAGAGGATCTTGAAATAAAACACAGAACCAAGGAAATACATGCAAATATAAGAAAACTTACAAACAAGGAAAAACATTTAACAGGAAATGGTTGTATTAGGGGGAAGGATGGAAAAATTATTGTTGATAAGAAAGATATAATAAAAAGATGGACTGAATACACAGAAGACCTGTTTTGGGACAACAGAGGTGACAAACCGCCAATTCATAATATTCAAGAGGGACCAAACATATTAAAGTCTGAAGTAGAGAGAAGTAGAGAAAGCCATTAAACAGATGAAGCAGGGAAAAGCTGCAGGTCCAGACAACATAACTGCAGAAATGTTAAAATCATTATCTACTTTTGGAATTGATACTATCACAGAAATATGCAATGACATTTATAACTATGGGTACATTCCCAGGGACATGAAAACATCTGTTTTTATCACACTACCCAAGAAATCAAAAGCTGTTGATTGTGAAGATTACAGAACTATTAGCCTAATGAGTCACGTAAATAAGTTACTCTTGAAGATAATTCAAACAAGAATTCAAGATAAAATAGAGAAAGAAGTTTCTGAAGAGCAATGTGGATTCCGTAAAAACAGTGGTACTCGAGAGGCCATAATTTGTCTAAAGATGCTGACTGAAAAATATATAGAAGTTCAGAAAAATATTTATGCATGTTTTATAGATTACAAAAAAAGCTTTCGACAGAGTGCAACATGAACAACTAATTGCAGCTCTTCAAAATATAGGACTAGATGGAAAGGATATCAGACTTATTAGAAACTTATACTGGGAGCAAGAAGCAACAGTTAGATATGACAACATCTACTCACCCCAGATAGAGATCAAGAGAGGAGTAAGACAAGGATGTGTGCTGTCGCCGAGCCTTTTCAACTTATGTACAGAAACCATTTTTAAAGAAATTGTAGAATTACCAGGACTGCACATCAATGGTAGAATAATAAACAATCTGAGATATGCTGACGACACAGTGTTGCTAGCAGAGAGTGAGCAGGAGTTGCAAGACCTAGTGGAGCAAGTAAACAGAAGGAGTGCAGAATTTGGATTAGATATAAATTTGAAAAAGACAAAAACCATGATATTTAGCAAAGAAAATAATCAGCTAACAATGAATATCACAGTGAAAGGGGTGAAATTGGAACAAGTTAAAAATTTCTTATATCTTGGACAAGTAATAACATGTGACAGCAGAAGTGAAACAGAAGTCAAGAAAAGAATAGGGATGGCCAAAAACATTTTCAACAACATGCAAAAGTTACTGACATCAAGAGAAATAAGCAATACATTAAAAATGAGAATTATCAAATGTTATGTATTCTCAACCTTACTGTTTGGCACAGAGACATGGACAATGAACAAACAACTGGAAAATCGTATCAATTCTTTGGAGATGTGGATATACAGAAGATTAGGTCGTATTTCATGGAAACAAAAGCTATCAAATACAGAGGTACTGAGGAAATTGGGAATGAAAAGAGAGTTGCTAAGGGAAATAAAAAAGAGACAAGTGAAATATTTTGGCCACATTAAAAGATATAACAGTATTGTAAAGATCATCCTAGAGGGAAAGGTTCAATGTACTTGAGCAAAAGGCAGACAACGTTACAAGTGGGAGGACAACATCAAGAGATGGACGAACAGCAGTATGAGGAGTGTACATCAAGGGCAAGAGACAGGGCTTGTTGGAGATCCATTGCAGCCAACCTTCATTGTGGAGACGGCACCTGATTGATTGATTGAAGTGTTTTAGCTTAAAGCTGTGTCCTCTTTCTTCTTCTTCTGTGCTCACTTTTAAAAGGGCAATTAGCATGCTGTCTAGTGGTTTACAGCTAGGCTGTGAAATATGTGCCTTTCAGCTCCCATCTTATTCAGCAATTCTTTAATTAGTCAATTTTTATGACATACGTGTTAAAGGGGTAGAACATATAGCCTCCCCCCCCCCACCCCCCCCCCCACAAAAGTTGAGCCCCGGAACCAACAGGGTGAAGCTTTGAATCCAGGAGACATCAAACGATTACCTACAGTGTGCCATAATAATTAATATTATCACATGTTGCTGCATTAACCAGCAGAGTTAATTCAGGCTGGAGGAAAAGCCAGCATTATTCTATACCATGCACCATGCGTGACAATTTGGAATTTGCTGACTGGCCCAAAGTGTGGAAAAAATTAGTTTATATTCCCCTCCGGAAAAAAAGTAAATCTCAAACTATGTAACAATTATCGCTCTACAGCTCTAATTAATCATGCCAGCAAAATCCTTCGGCAGAACATCTTGAGGAGAATCAAGAAATAATTGGAATTATGAATTATAAGAAGCACAAGTGGGTTTTAGACGGGGCAGGGGAACAAGAGACTATATTTTCAATATGAGAATCATCCTAGAGAAGTGGAGAGAATACAATATAGATCTTCATACTTGTTTCATAGACTACACCGAGGCTGACTGATGATGATGATGCATAAACAATATATTTACTATCTGGTGTATGGATGATGTGTCTGAAAACAGGCAGCTACTTACCTCTAGCCATCGTACAACCTGTGGCAGGAAGTTATTGGTTATCAGTTTACTGGCATCTGTCAGCGAGCACACAACATCTCTATTGTCTGTCGTGACTTGGATGGAAACTGGTCCAGGAGCAGGTAACTCTAACACAAGGTTGAATGTAGGATTGGGTAAGCCATGAGCAAAGAGATTATCTTCACTAGCATCCATATCTTCATATTCATCTTCTGTAGCATTGTCTGCATCACTGTCATCAGAGCTTTCATGTTTGCCTGATCCCCCAGTATCTTTCTCTAACATATTTTCTTTGGGTGTTGCTTTCATATTATCCTCACTGACAGAGACATCTACAGAGCTTGTTTCATGAACAGCTTTGTTGCCATTCAAAATCTCTGAATTTACAGCTTGTCTATCATCTGGAGTAAGGTCCTGAATCTGCTGATTTTCTCTAGAGTCAGTGGTAACTGAAGTAGCAGCAGTCTGATTATGAGTGCCTCCATCAGCCAATAGGTGCAGTTCCTGACTTTCACAAACGGTGTTTTCATTAGATGACCCATTAACTGTCTTATCTGCTGCTGCAGATTCTTCCCATAGAGGTATAACAAAGTCTGCAAGTGTGGGCAAGAGCAACTGCAAGCAACTTTCAGCTTCTCTCGCACAGTTTTCAATCTCTGGTTTTAGTTCTGTATGGAAAAAAGTTTAAATATATTATTATTTTCACTTAATGAATAATATAAAGTACATTATTGACTCTTTTAAAACTCAAGGATCGCATCATACGTTTACAGGTTCATACATAGAAGTCCAGTGAATGCAGGATGTGGCAATTTTTACATCTCTCTTGACCACCCCTTGGGCTTCTGATGCTAAACCTCCTGGGACTCAAAGAGTTAAAAAGAAAAAATAAATCCTGTGTGGGTTCCAGAGTTCCATTTTAGGGACAAAAGAATCAACCTGATGCCCCTGAAATAGCATGCTGGTACAGGCAACTGATTACAGATTTGCTGAAATCATATGTTTTGGGCCAATGGTGCAGATATCACAGCCTAGCTGTAAACCACACAAAATAGGCCAACTACTCTTTTAAGATAAAATTCAGAAGAAGAAAATAAAACAAAAATTTTTTTTTAAAGATTACAGAATGATAACACACACATTCAGTCTTAGGTGTCATAAAGCTGAAGAATGGTGAAGACCAGTCTACAAAATGAGTAAAACACCAAGTGAATTGTTGTATTACTCATTTCTGTGAATCATTATATTTCTTAGGGAATCACTGCATATAATCTCACAACCATCAAAGCTTTGTGCTCAAGCCATCAAGGTAATTTATCTCTTCAACTTCCCTTGGTCTTTTTTCATTATATTTGCCAATTGTCACTAAGTTACAAGTTTATTTCTTCACATAAGATCTACAATCACCCCTCCCTACCCCACACACACACACCCACACACTATATACACATACTCTGTCTGTCACTCCCTCACTACCTGCAATGTCCTTCAACACTTTGGCCAGCTTGTCCGTCCTGATCTTCTCCTTCCTCTTCTCCTCATTCTCAATTCTCTGTCTCTCAGCCTGGTTCTGTGTTCTGATGTCATTAAAATCAACCTGAAAACATGCATGCAAATTCTGTTAAAACATTTCCATTTACAGCATTGCCTAGCACATTGTGCTGTATTGTGTGACAATCAGATCAACATTTAATGAGGCAGAAAAATAAATCAAGTGTAGCTGAAAAATACAGCACATATAGTCCTAGCTTTCAATGTAATTCTTAACATAGATGTTTTACGCAAATGTTTCTGTATACTGTATAAATTGTAAAGGGTTACCCATGCGTACGATGAAACATCAACATCAAGGTGTATCAGTTTTGTGTGTGAGTGGTGAAAAGCACAATATTTATCAATCATATAGCCAGAGTCCAAGAATTCACACCATGGAAGAAGTAGACTTCTCTCTCTAATGAACAAAATGTCAGTATGGATTATTAACACATGCAACATGTTTTTGCTCTTGTCTGGGATAGCGAGATGTTCTAAAGAACAGAATCCGCCTTCTTTAGCACGACACCTGCTGGACATTAGAGGCACAACCACAATAGCCAATCTATCAGAATTTCAACATAAACCAAATCAAACAGGATTTACCATTTCCTGTTATCAGTATAAATGTATTTATCTTGCAGTCCTTCAGAAAATTGGGCTTTTGAGCTGAAATATTTTAGAAAGGTTCTCAGAATAACATGAAAAGAAATACTGACACCCTAAAGATCTCAGCATCAAGATTGGCTAGTCAACAGCATCTCGTCTCAGAAACTGAAACATTTTGGCCATCTCATGCACCACCGCAGTGGAAAGAATAATAGCAGAAGACATGGTGCCAGGAAAGGAGGGCAGGGGCCAATCAGCACAAAGATGGCTGCAGGACATAAGTGACACACTGGACTGGAAAGTGCACGAGGCGGTAAGGCTGGTGAGAAGCAGAGTTCTTTCAGGCAGGCCATAATGAAAGCAACATTCTGCAAAGATGTATTTATAATGACAAAACCATAAGCTGATATCATGTACATGGCAGAACATATGGAACACACAGAAAGACTACATTTGACAATCTAAAACTTCCTGCTGACAGACTTACATGTTTGCAGTTCTTCAGGTAGTTGTAGCCTACAACTAGTTTCTTATAGCCCTGTCCATACTTGTCATGCCACAGCTGCAAGGCATGTAGGGCATCAGTTTTCAGCTTCTTCGCCGCACTCTTTGGCGGTGGTAAGGGTCTCTCTGTCTCTGTTTCTAGACAAAGATTGACACAGAGCTGGCTGTTTTATGTAACTAGATGTCTGATTTGTCCAAATTTACTGGTCTATAATTATCTACAGTCAACACCCCAAAATATATGACTTTAGTAAATCTTGAATTAATTACATGTTAAGACATGCTTAATGAACACCAACTTGTAAAATGCATGGGAAAAAAGCGCACAATCGATCCTTACATCTCCTCCCAACACGTCGCTGAAGTAAATGGTGGAAGAGAAGAAGAAGAAGAGGAAGACCTGCTTGTGGGCCTACTCCTTTTCCTCTCAAAAAAATGGGTCCAAAACCTGCATAGCGAAAGCAAGATTATAAAGATACTGACCTGGCCTTCCAGGCTGACAAAGATAAAAATGAGTATAGTGCTTTCAGGTATTGATGGCATATGGTGCTAGCAGTATATCTGTACAGCCCAGCTGGCATTCAGTGTGTGTGAGAGACAACTAACCAGTATTGTGAGGGCTGTTTTACTTCTCAGGGTACTTCTTAGCCCCCATTTTAGGACTATTTTCTTTTTAAATCAGCCTGGATAGGGAGGCAAACCAATAATTATCAAGTCAAAAGCCAAACAATGTATCAAAATAAAATGATAAAAACACAAAGACCCAGGTAATGAGGTAACCAGAGTTCCATCTTTACAGCAGACAGGTCAGTACAAAGCTGATAGCTGTGTCAATAAAAGCCACATATAATGTCAGTCAGTGTCCCTGTGGAAACAATGTACACTGACTGCAGTCTCAGCAACGTCAATAGTGCACATGTGCATTTAATGCACAAAGCAGCTGTCAGAAGTGTCAACACTAACAGTCTGATACTAGAAATGAAGTTCATCGTTGCTGGAAGCAGCACTTCAAACAGATCATTACTTGCACTTATTAATCACATAAAGCACCACAAGGTCTCTGACAACAGGACCACTCACCAATTTCTTAATCTGCAGTTCACAACCTAAACCATGCTGGGCACTGTCAAAAAAAAGCACACCAAATATGCAGCTCACAGTGTTGTGGCATTCACTCGGCTCAGTAGGTGGGTGAAAGAACCTTATCATTTCAGTCTACATATGGAGGAAAATGCAACAGCTAACTATTTTCCATGACTAAAAAGATTACACCTGCCTTATTACCATACCAACAGGAAGACACAAAGACAAGAGGTATATTGTATATTTATCAGAAACTGACCAGTTGTTAGGGCCAGGACAGCCTGCAGATGGTTGACCATGGTTTCTCTAAATGCATGCGACCTGTTGAACAATTCATCTGCCACCTGAAACGCTGACAGACGAATTTCTGAGTGTTTCTTGTTCAGCTGTCTCATGATCAGAAGAAATGCATACCGGACATAATCATCAGATTGTCTGAAATATTAAAATACAATGAAAAAAACATCATCAGTTCAAAAATAAAATAAACTGAAATAAAAACACAAATGGTAGAAATATGTTTATGAGAACTATTAAGCAAAGTACACAGTTGCTTTATCATTTTGACCGCCCTCTCTCTATTTATGTTACAGCACTTAAATATTGTATCTAAAGCCACTGATATTTTTTTAAAAAAGCACACATTTTTTTTCCAAGCAAGTTAAGGTAATAACTATCTTGGACTTATTATTTGCCAGCTATAGTTCACGACCAGATGAGGTAGTCTCATGCCAACTCTCCTTAGTCACCTCTAATGGCATGAATAACTACAGTCCAGATAAAACAAGGGGAACATATATCAACATAAGATTACACATCTGATAATAACAATATGGGCAGGACATGGAAAGAGCTGCAAGAAATGGTAAAAAGATGGAACAGCTGTCCGTGAGTTGGATAAGGATCTTTGCTTCAATAGCAATGGGAAGTTAAAGCCAGAATGACAAAAATGAAGTGATAACAAATATTTCTTGACCAGACACGCTTTTAAGATGTGCCTAATTATATTGCTTGTCTAGTGACACTAAGATCTGGCTCAATAACACACTGACGGTAGATTGAAGACACACATGAAATCTTCTTTACAAACAACTTATCTTCATTCTCTCACCATCAAAACTCACATGCAACTTTCACACCCTTATACTATAGTTGTATGCTTTTATGTTTAATTAAGAATTTACATTACAGCACTTGAGACATTCCCATAAGTGCTCCACCCTCATCTTAAGCAGCCATCACATAGTTACCAATTCCAATGGTGCCAGTAACAGTCTGATCACATATCCTTCACCGTTTCCCTTGAGTGTTGATCATCAGCCAGATCCCTTGGTCACTCCTTGCTGTGCCATTCTTCTCAGACCATGATGATCTATCTGCCCCTACACACTGTTCATCAGCCTCCAAAGGGCCCTCATAACATCTAGCTTGTTATGCATCATTTCGATGTGCAAAACCAGCCAGTTAATCTGCCTGTTCATATCCCAATACACCAGCATTCTTGGATAAAATATCCAAAGGATGCTAACTACATAGTACCTCTGAAGTGTTGCTTGCCACTGCAGGCTCTGATGACACCTAATGCAGGAGACTGAAATCAAATGGCATACAAAAGATATTTACACAAGATCTGCCTGCAAATATCACAAGTTCAAGAAAAGCTCTATGCTGTGATTCAAACACACAAATTACCTGCAGAAGCGTTTAAATTTTTTCATCAGAGTGTCATCCAATGAAGGACTCCCTGTGGTCGTAAGTTCATATAAACATTTGTCCATAAGTTTCAGGGTTTCCTTATTCAAAGTCTCTCCGGCATTCTTTATCTCTGAGGAAATAAGTTTAGTAGTTACTTCATCCTGACTTAGATTACAATAAATAATCTAGATTGCTTTGGAAACTGAGGAAAAGGGGGGGGAGGGGAAGATTAAGAGAACGATACAGAAGCGGACTCAGAGTCTGGAGAGACAAGTATCAATATTAAACTCTACAAACATTTGTTACGATAGGTAGCAATGTTTTCTGTATAACAGTAGCCAGTGTCTTTCATTAATGCTGAATGCTGAGCAGCGTATACCCAAACAACCTGACATCCTACATTGTGCCAATTGCTTCAGGAAAGGGAGTGCATAGGGGAGAATTCTAACATTATCCAAGGAAGAGGAAATACAGCCCTAAAATTGAATGTTTTGGTAGGGCAGATCAGACCCTTAGCCTTGGCTGCCAACTGGTCTAGGAGGAAAGCTCTAAAATACAGACAGATAGAGCACTACTCTTCTTATCCGGCAGCTTCTGCAGCATGCTTTGCTCTAAAGTAATGGTGATACCTGTTCTCTGGAGTAAACAAGACAGGCTGAGAAAGTGATCATGATGCATGGGAAACATATGGTCTCTACAATACTGTCCAGGTATTGAGCTATGCAAAAGAGGGTGCTTAATTAGTAGCAGGCAGCCAGGGTAATGTAGTAGCTAGATGCTCAGCTGCCAGCATGAAGAACTAGAGTTCAAATTTGCATCAAGGCAGAGTGTTCTGAAACTAACCTTGCTTCCTAGGTCCACCTAGGCTAAAATGGGTACCTAGTAATGTCCTGGGAAGCAAAAGTGGATAGTGTGATGCAGACCACATCTCCCAACAAGTGCCAATAAGTTTATTAGAAAATTAAACCTAGCATATATGTCCAGTATGCTAATGGCACACAAAATGGTATAAAACTCGACTGAATCCATGAGTGCTGTTGTTTCTACAAAAAAAAAGACATTTCCTCAGAATAAGTCCTAGGACGATTTTTCAGGATGTTTTTAAAAAAAGTCCTACTCAAAAAAAAAGGCCTAAAGAACGAACGAACAAACTTTATTTTCAAGAGGTCACAAATTGGGCACGCAGGCCCGTCTTACATTTGGCCCTTCCAGTCAACCATCTTTCGCACAGCAGTTGTGTTTTACTAATAAAGCATGTTATGATCATATGATGTTATGCATATTATGAATATTATAACAAAGATTGTCGGCTAGAGTGAGATTTATTGCTGAATGGCCAGCCACTGCATTCTTAACGATGCTTAGTCCTTCAATATAGCAGCCATCCAAAATTACTTCTACCATATTTTCCTATGAGAACTAGATAACAATGTCTCTTTGATTGACCTTAAAGTTGGCAACCATATAAAATATGAAGTGAATGACAATGGGGTACAGAGACAATAACCACTATTTCCAATAGTCTAACAGAACTAATACTTTTTTTCTCTCAAATAAAAAAAGAAAAAAAAAAAAGAAAGAAAAAGGAGGTCTTGGAAGAGTTGCTAGGAGTGACAAGAAAAGGTTACATTTTGAACATGAGAAGAAAACTAGGAGTGAAATCAAAAACTAGGAGTGAAATCAAAAACTAGGAGTGAAATCAAAAACTAGGAGTGAAATCAAAAACTAGGAGTGAAATCAAAAACTAGGAGTGAAATCAAAAACTAGGAGTGAAATACAAAATTAGGAGTGAAATCAAAAACTAGGAGTGAAATCAAAAACTAGGAGTGAAATCAGTCAAACAATTCATTAAGGAAATAACAGATTAAATAATTGCAAGACTGCCCTTGTATCGGTTACCACAGAAAGCTACACTGAATAAATATAATGAATACAGAGCTAGAGGAAGACCATGTACAGGAATGATAGCATCAATCTTTAATAAAAGATGACAGTCTTATACAGTGCCTTATAAAGAGCACACATAACCCCCCCCCCCCCCCCCACCCCCCTCCCCTTTAAAAATTTTTTATTTTATTTAAATAGACCAAAAAAAAAAAAGAGGGAAAAGACCTCAAAAAATGCTGGTATGTACTTGATCAAGGTGAGTACAGCAAGAAACTAAGTTTATTCACATGACATAGGAAACAGTTTGTGGAAAAATGAAATAACAGTGACAGGAAGTGAATGGAAGATGAAACAACCATATATAACAGACCACAGGAAGGGTAGAAGTATATTACAGACCTGGACTATTCGACTAAGTTTTAAAGTTTACTCAGTGGCAAGATGTTGACAATGGCGATCATCACGGCCCAGAGCAAAGAAAGATCATTCTGTGGACCACTTCCTAGGCCTCCGTGAGCCATGATTGGCCTGCAGGCCACAAATTGAATAGTCCTGATATAAACTATATTATAGACAGCTATTTTTTGTCATCTTGCTTGTTCATAGAGGCTTTGCTTTAGTTAACGTCATCATAGCCCACTCTGTCAAATGTGATTGTGCTTTCTTGTAAATCTTCCTTTCTTCTTTTTTGTTTCTCTTATTCTTTATAATCATAGCACAGTAAGATCGTGTGAGTAGTAAGAAGCGCCCAGAAGGCCCGCCACCTCATTCCGTATGGGAGAAATCTTTAGCTGGAAAATCAAATCAAATCCAACAAACCATCGTCAATGCGTGAATAAAGTCATGAACAAATCTTACTGGTCTTCAAAAGGACTGCCGCAGTACGGTAGTTGGTTGAGTGTATCTTACTCGGCGGGGAGGGGTGGGGAGGTGACACAAAAGAAGAATATCCATTTACTGTATATACTAAAATTTCGTTGTGTTATTAAGTTATTTCAAATATTTTTTGATTGTGTACATTTGGTAAGTCCGGCGTTGTCAAAATAAGTGTTCACTGTTCGTCAGTTCTTTCGTCCACTGCGCAAACTGTTTTGAACGTCTTATCAGCTTAATTTTTTTTTTTCGTCTGATAACATCATAAACCATTCATTCAGTGTGACATTACCTTTCTCGATATTAAAGCCATCCATCTTCAGTGTTTAACACCTAATTCAAACTGTCACATCAAAGATATATATCCAACAAGAGATATCAGCAAAACTGCAGTAGCAGCTTTTTCTTTCGCTTCAGAAAAAATGGTAAACATATATACCGGATATGATTCGTAGGCGTCGTTGTTCTATAATTTACGTTTTTTAAACATTATTATTTATTTTTCTGCTCTCTTTTTATTCGTGTTCTTCTTGTTTTTCTTGTTGTTGTTGTTGTTGTTGTTGTTGTTGTTGTTGTTGTTGTTGTTCTTCGCTCCTGTCTGATCCTGCATATTCTGAAACATTCTTGCAAGTAGCATTGTTTTCTGAATACCTAGGCACCCAGAACTCTTCTTGGCTTTCTTCAAGGTTTTAAATTGCAGATTGCAGATCTGCAGATTAAAGCAGATTTTTAAAAATGCTTGATTATTGTCGCGGCACCCCTGGTACACGCTCCCGGCACACCTGGGTGTCGCGGCACCCCTGGTACACGCTCCCGGCACACCTGGGTGTCGCGGCACCCTGTTGGAGAACCGCTGGGCTGGACGATCGCATGTGGACCATAAGATCGTGGCACGGCCTTCTATATTTATAGGCCAAACAGATCAACGGGGATTCCAGTTCTTGTGCAAGAATCTAGAGAAGGCGGTGGGTCGTGGGTTCAAAAGCGCATGGTGCCAAATAGTTTCCATGCATGACCTTGTTTCTCAGGTCGGCCCAGCCTTAAATGGGTACCAGGCAAAGTCCTCGGAAGTAAAGTGGTCGGCGTGGTGCGGATCACATTACTTACTGAATGCAGATTGATCTAATATGTGGTTCCAACACTGTCTGTGTGTGGCTAAGGCGTTGTGAAAGCACTTCGTAATGCCGGAGTGCCGGGTTTGATCCCAGCTGCGGGCCTTGCGCCTTGCGTTGGTTTCGACAGTGGTATCGAGAAGTCAACCCTCCAGAAAGCAATGGCAAACTACTGGACGTAAATTAGCCTAGAGAAACCACAACAGCTAAAAAATGCTGGAGTTGTTTCTGCATTGTCCCGTAAAAGAGACTCAAATAACATTTTTTTAAAACTGTGTACCCAGTGCACGTAATGGTATAGACAAAGGTCTTTCACTTCTTTGCAGAACCGTGTGTTCGTTTTCAGCGAGTTTGTCTTAACGAATTTTTTTTTTTCAGGTGGTTTGAAAAGAAGCTTATAATATAAATCGGTGCCTGTGTTTTTTTTTTTTTTTTTTTTTTTGTCTTTTAAATATGTAGCATGTCTTAGACAGACAGTTTCTGCAAAAAGTTTGACTAGAAACTGTCAAAAATCCCGGAAACAAAAATAATTAATTTCGGAGCCAGCAAAAAAAAATTCAGTAAACACCGGAAGAGATCAAGTGAAAAAAAAAACATGGTTTGATTCAATGTCAGCCGCCAGGAGTGTATTTCTTTTAATTAGTTAATAGCTGGCAAAAGAACGGCTCGGCAAAAGTGTGGGGTTCAGTCCACGCAGATGATCAAGATCTGAATAAGCAGACAGGTAAGCCTTTGTTCACAGCAGAGCACAGATATGACTGGTCCGTTGGAAAATGTTGGCAAAGATAGAGAATACACACTAGCCAGCAACAAAACAGAGGGAGCTAATGAGAACATGAACAGTGTTTCCACGAAAACGTTGTTATAGATATGTGGCCAGATGTTGCTCTTGTGTTGTGATCACTTACAATAAATAATTCATCTCCTTCTGTTTCAAGCACTTGTCAGTTTCAAGAACTAGATGTGTGCATCGTCATAAAATAAAACAGTTGTAGTATAACTGAAGGGGAAAAAACACTAAAAAGATAGCGATTATACAAGAAATAAAGAGAGAGAGAGAGAGAGAGAGAGAGAGAGAGAGAGAGAGAGAGAGAGAGAGGGGGGACAAAAATTGAGAGAGAGAGAGAGAGAGAGAGAGAGAGAGAGAGAGGTAAACTTATATTTATATGAAAGAAGAAGTATTAATAACGAATGTAATACATCTGCAAAGATATGGGGATGTGCTTGATATAAAATAACACTGTGAACACTTACAGTTATCACGGGAGACCACATAGTGAAACAATATTATTTAAATGAAAACTTCAAACAAGATATGAATGTTGTGTTAATTTTTAATACATTTTCCACATGAAAATTGTTGAACGAAATTTCAGTAACATAGTCTCTGTCAGTTAAAAAAAAGCAGAGATCATTTTTAAATGACAAGTCAACATCTGATTCACATTTATACTTGCTTGCTTGCTTGCTTGGTGTACTCCACTAGGACATCACACAAGCGATAAACACCGGGTGACACAAGTGCCATCATGCGGATGAGAATCACCCGTGGAGACTCCCAAAAACCCCTTTCAGTCGTTATGGCTACAATTGTGGCCCAGCTATATTCGGGACCCCCACAAAAGCCAGGGTGGACTTCAAATAACGAAACATTGCATCCTACAAGGGGATGACTAGGTTAAAACTAGGGCTGTGCCGAATATTCGCTTCGTATCGCTTCGGGGCCGAATAGTGGACTTAATAACTATTCGGTATTCGGCCGAATACCTGCGTCGGGCCGAATACGAATAGTGGTTACCTTACACCCGTTTTGCATACACTACGATATACTGAAATAAGTCTCTCATTAACACAATAGTTCCTGTTGCCTAAGTCTGTCGTAGCAGGAAAACCGCGACCCGGTTGAGTGGTACAGCAGCTGCAAGGTCATTACCTGCTGACTCGACCGAGGCATTACTGCAGAGGTTCTCAAACTGGGTGCGTATGCCAAGGGTGCGGCGACGAAAATCAAGAAAAGTCAGCTATAAATTGTGACATTATTAAAGAAGGCATACAGATACTTAAAAGTTAAAATTTAAATTGTCTTTCCTCACCACTGTTGAAAAAAGTGGTCTCTTTTTCCTTGTTTCACACTCAAAGTGTAGCATACTGCATAAAATGCCAACCGCAGCGTGCTAAAAATTGTCTGTATTTATCTCGAGGTGCGACTGATCCTCCATCTGTATTCGTAAAGGTGCAGGGGATACGAAAGGTTGTGATTACATTTTGGCTGAAATTTTGAAGTGGAAAATGTGGTCTGTACAAGAGTAACTGTTAGCCTTGTCAAGTAAGCACTTACATTTAAAGCAATGCGTTGTGAGTTCTAGACAATCGGTAGGCAGGCTAAATAATTTCTTGAGGCCTCAGAGATGTGGTTTTACAGAATAATGCCTAAAATACCCTGGACAGCTACACAAATAAAGCAACCACGAGGTTTTGAAAGTTGCTGGAGCCTGAAGACAACTAATCACAGACATCAGAAGGAGACATCATTTTTCGGCCATGTTATGAGAAGAGGGAAAATGGAACATGTGGTGACTACTGGAAAGATCTGTGGAAGGATAGATAGAGGAATACAAAGAGAAAAGATTTTTGACAGTCTTGCTGCATGGCATGGAGGTGTGTCAGCACACGAACTAATACATGCTGCAGGAAATCGCAGATTGTGGCGAGGCATATTCGCTCACGCCAGTCGGCAAGGCAGCTGGTGGTGATGATACACTATTCGTATTCGTATTCGGCCGAATAGTTGGTCCCGCTATTCGTATTCGGCTGAATAGTGAAATTCACTATTCGGTACAGCCCTAGTTAATACTGACTTATACCTAACAAATGTAGGTTGACAAATTAACGCAGGCTCACCAGCGCCGCTAAGAATAAAATAAAGGATCTTTTACCTTTTTTTCCCACATGAATATGCTTTAGAAGATAACAGACGGTATGCTCTTTGAATAGGTAGAAAGCATTCGAAAATCGCACTTAACCTCCCTCACCTGGACCTACTCACCTGGTGATGCGGGTGTAAAGGGTAATGAGCGAGCGGAGCAACTGACAAGCAATGCACCAACGTATGTGGGAAGAAACACGGACAGAGCAGATATCAACGCTGGATTATTTCGATGTAAGTTTACCCCAAATAGAGTAGGTCCCTTTTTTTTACAATTTTGTTGGGCTGGTCAACTTTCATAAAGGTACGGGTGTGTCCCCTCCCCCCCCCCCCCCCCCTCTGTCGTTTGGTTTCTGCGATTTCTTGCATTTACGTTTTCATTCCGAGAAAGGGAATGCCTGTCACACAGGCTGGTAATCTTGTAATTAGTAGCAATCTTTGGGGAGCTTGTGTTAGACTCAGTTTCTTTATATTTTTAGAGTGTTAAAAGCGCTGGCGTGCTGAAATATACAACACGCGATATCAATGACATTGCGGAACACCCCCATAACCGTGTGCGAAGGACACGAGCTCAGGAACTACCAGTCAGAAGTGAACTAGTGTGTAAATGGGTGGTGTCGGGGAGACTAATATCGAACTAACCTAACGCTATACAGACTGGGCTAATGGATAACGAGGAACCTCTTGACACTAACACGATTGTGTGACGTGGGAATACAGCATGGTGAAGCATGGCTTATCTAGGTCAGAGGGGTGTTAAGTTGTACTGATTTTTTCGAAAAGAGTCTCTCTTGTGACCCAGGCTCAAACTGTGGGGTTTAAAAAGGGGGGGGGGGAGGGGGTGTTGTGTTAGGGCCAATTCTCGGTGGTGTAGGGTTGTTGAAAGTTGTGTCATTGGATAGTATAGAACGTACGACATCGGCGCTGATGTAATTAGAGGCAAGACAACGGGACACCCCTTTGACGTAGAACAGTCTGAAAAAGTATGAATGAGCGGCCAGACAGTGTGCAGATGGGCCGGGAAACGCGAACTGGACCCTTATTTCCTTAACCTTCCTACTCTTATTTCCTTAACCTTTCCTCGTTGTTGTTTTCAGGTTATTATTGTATAGTTTGATGTTCCTTCACACACAAAATATAGTTAAAGTTTAGACTGGATGAGATGGGATGGTAAAGAAATTTGCACACTGCTCTGTGTTTATTGGAAGATAAATGGTTTCTGTAGTCACCGGGTTAACAGAACCAGTGTTTTCCCCTTATGTTTCCACGTCACATCTGT